ATTGTTGGTTAATTTGTTCGAATTTTTTATGTAATTGTTTCCTAATAGTGTTGAAAATTAATCCTAACGGATTAATCTATTACTTAGTAAGATTTTGATGATTTTATCGAAATTTTTCTTATGAAATCTATGATGAGGTAATAGAAGAACTCTATCTACCAAGTTCACCACCACACCCAGCTTCTGACTCAATGGATGTTGAAAAAAATAATTTAAATAGCAACCAGAGAAGATCGATTTATAGTATAAATCATATGTATCATGTGAGTACATTGTTTTCTGTTGTATCCTTAATTATAGATATCACCTCCAAGAAATTTAAAGAGTTGTTACCTTTTTCAATGATAAATTTCAATCTAGGACGATATTCATTAAATATTCTAAACAGCTCATCTATATGATTTTTGTTAATGACTGTGGCAACAACATCCATATATCTTACATAAAAGGATGGTGCTATTGATAATTTACTGAAAGAAATTTCTTTTAAATCTTGCATCATTATATCGGATACAATGGGAGATAATAAATGGTAAACCCATTAGCGCATTGAAAGTTTGTTTGGAAAATTTGTTAAGCATAAAAAAGGTGGAATCTAATAATTTTCTACTAATTTTAGTGCTCTAATAAATTCATCTTTAGGGGTCACCGTATTATTTCTGATGAATTCTTATCTTTTATTGATACTCTCTATTACCAGATCGGGTCATTCGTGAATAAAGACAATACATCTAACGATAACAGTATGTCATCTTCCAAAATGCTAAGATTAGAAATATTTTTTGTTAATTGGAAACTGTTGCCTATGAACTCGGACGCTCCTTGGCAGGAGAGGAAATGGGATGAAACTCGCTTCGCATGAAAAGACGTGCGCCCCTAGCAGGAGGGAAGATGGAATGGAATTCCCTTCGCGTGGAAAGTCGTATTTCGTTAAGGGGATGCTAGAGTTATCGATGTAAAGCTCCTTCCGTATTTTTCCAACCATTTCATTTTCCTTATACAGAATAAAAAATTCTTCTCTAGAATAAAAGAAAAAACGCAAATAGTTTTGGGAAAGTACAAACCTGTATGAAAATCCCCCAAAAATTGTAAATTACAGTTTTCTATTTATCATGTAAGTTTCTTCATATATAAAAATGAATTCAACTATATATTCAAATAAAAAGCATTTTCCCACATTTGAATAATTTATAAGAATATCATGAAACTTTCAAATTATGATTTTGAAGCTTACAAGAGAAATGACAGGAAAAGTACGATATACATAACTTCGCATTCATGCGATGTAAGATATGACAGAGAAATGTTTTACGTAATGTTTTACTTAATGGTTTACTTAATGTACGTAATGTTTTATTTGGAATTAAAAATCTGTTCTTTCGATATCGATCGAATTCGACCGTCGCTCCAATATCCCCTTAATCCAGATTTTAGTCGATAAATTTTGTCATATAAAAAATTTTTTTTCATTTCCCGAAGATAAGACTATGTTTTTTATTTCTTACATCAAAAACAACTTATACGTAAAATTTCAGATCAATCGTGAGCAGGAATTCATTCGGAAACTTACACCCAAAATTTTTTTCATTTTTAATATACAGTTCTCAGTTTTTTAATTATTTTTATGTAGAATTAATTTCTATTGTAGTTTTACAATTTATTAATTACGGGATGAAAAATGAGTAACACTCATTTTTATCGTTACTTTTTATAATAACGATTTGATAACGATTTTGCAATTTTTTATGATGGTAATAATGACAAATTAAAAGTTTGAGAAGAAATCATTTTTAAAAGTAACTTGTCACCATCGCGCATTGTTTATTGAAAAAGTAACCCACTACTTGTAACGAGTTAAAATAAAGAATAAAAGTAACGAGTCGACGCGTTACAACGAGTTACTTTTTTTAATAAATAATGCATGGTGACAAGTTATCTTTCAAAACTAATTTTCCTAGTCTTAGCTTTTAGTTAGTTATTGTTACCACATAAAAAACTGTAATATCATTGTCAAATGATTATTATAAAATATAATGACAATAATAACTGTTCCCATTCCAATTTGTGATTAGAAGAAAACTTATCATGAGATAAGCGCCTAATGAAATAGCGACATTTCTGCTAAACTAATAAAGCTATCTATTGGTTCCACCATGAATTTATTGTTCTTAGATGATTGAAAACCATTTAGTGGGAAATACATTATTAGATCGTGCCTATAGTTATTGCAAAAAAAGATTTTAGAATTTGAATGTCTTCAAGTTTTGTTGAGATGAGCTTTTAAACCTTGTTTATTATTTAATAAGTAAATTTGGCAATAAATTCTTCTATGGTGATAGAGTAAGATTATATTAATAAAAAAATACGTGATATATTGAATTGCTTAATTATAAATGTTAGATTTGATGATCGTAAAACCATAAAGCGTGAAAATCTGTAATATATAAGATTCAGTATTCAGCGTATTTCTAATATAACATAATCTATGCTTCTATGTCATAGTGAAAATCGTTGCTGAAGTATAAATGTTATTGTACAATAATAAAAAAGACAATCGAAATAAACATCGAATGCCTGTTTTTATGATGCTTGGTTCCAATTACCTGAAGAGTCAGCTAGGTACAATGGCATCGCCTCATTTACATTCATTTTGCACGTGCTGGCTGTGTTTATTTGTATTTTAGAAATAAAGTTTTTTAATTGCGCGCGCAATACTGATATATTTTGAGTTTTATTATCGATTTCTCGGAACATTCCATATTAGGAGCATAATTGTTTGACTTTGCAATTTGCTCACTTTTTACATTTCTTTAATTTATAAAAAAAATAAAATTTGAATTAAATTTTACATAACATTATCTTAAAGCTTATCAAATTCCCTTCAAATTGATCTATTATTTTTTTTAATTCTGCTCATAAATTTCTAGCATTTACCCAAAATAAACTCAGTATCTCATAATAGGGGTTTTTTTTTCTACGCATCAGATATTTTACAATTTTTGATAATTCATATGCGGTATTGACGGGATTCGAACCTAAGACTTCTAAAATGATAAACAAACACACTATAATCACACTCTTGCCCAATTTGGTATTCCAATGTTATTTGACTTGTTTCGATCATGTCTTATACAAATCAAACAGTAATTCACTTTATCTCAACGAATATTTATGTTTTGCGCTGACAAAATTTACTTCAATAAAAAAATTTATTCAGATTAGATTCCAGATTACTCAGATCTATTTAAAGAATGAGTTTGATTGATAATGGGATTGCTTGAATCAATGATATATACATATACACTTTATTTTACGCAATAAAAATGTTTAATTAACTTGTATTATAACTTTTTAGGCTTCCATGGGTATTATCTTCAAAGATATCAAAAAATTTGCGGGTTATCGCCGAGGTTTTCATCCTCCGAGGGTAAGAAACTTGTTCATCTTATGATTCCAAAAGGCACAAATACGTTGAACGTATATGACTTTCGATGTTGAAAGAACCTCGCGAGAAGACCTAATAGATTGAATAATTATAATATCAATCTCCACTTGAAAAACAATATGATCAAGCTACAATCATTAATTCATAACCAACTCTTTTTGCTGTTCTCTAATTTATTGAAGTATGCCTGATACAAATCCGGATAGTTAGAGAATTGACCACCAGATTTTGAGAATC